AGGAGAATTTAAATAATCTACAAAGAAGCACAAGTGAGAAAGTAATTTACCTCTATTAGAGCATAACAAAGTACTTAGCTGAAGATAACAGATCACATCTCAAACCCAGGTCATTAGTTCTAATCCAGCCCAAACTGGTAACCATCAGAACGCACACTGCAGCAGCAGTCATTTTCTGGCTTACTTGAACGTAACTGATTGCCCCTGCCTAATGGATAATGGCTGGGCCAAGAAATACAAAAGGCATTAAACTCTCGTGCTTGCAGCAAAAGACTGTCTGAGACATAAAGGACTCAAATGGTCCAGGAATGAATTTCAGGCTCCAAAGACATCATTTGTCCCTCTTCATTAAAAGGAGGAAATATCTTGCAGTGCATTTTTATTGAAAGTACTATTCCATAACATATTAGCATGTTATGTCTTCCACTTCCTCAACAGGATAGTGGATGAGTAGGAAAATAATCCACTTTGTAACATTTTTTTTTTCTTTAAAAAAGGCCAACAATCTTCAGTCAACCCATACAAACACATAAAACTCTCGGATCACTTCCTCAGTGTAATGTACTGAGTATGGAATTAACTGCATATGCATTTATCTTCTGTGTACCTTATACTCCCTCCTGCTGGAAAGACACCCTCCTGCACTCCTGCTGTACCTACACTGTGGTGAAGATACTCAGGCAACAGTTTCACTAATATTTTGAGTGAATATAAGCCAAACTAACCCAAAAACAGCAGCCTTCAAGCCACCCGGTCCCTCCCTTCCCCCCCCCCCCCCCTTTTTTTTTTTCTTTTGCTGGGTAAGTTTTACATGAGAAAAATTATTTCAGTTAATTCACCACAAGTGAATTAGAAAATTCAAAAAGAAGGTAGCACATAGAGAGAGAAATCGTCATCCAACTTAGGAGAGCGCAGGACTGCTTCTTTTGGCAACAGTACCTGCTTATAGTGGTTTAAAATGTTTGGGAAACTACAGACTCAACACAAGGTGTTTCTTTGTGTTGAGACTTGAGGAATATCTGGGGAACAGGAATAAAGCTTATCTATATGCAGATCTAGCCATGAGCATGCCTCACCGATTTTAAATGCACGAGTATCACTTTCATGCTGACTGTCCAAGATAATAGCCATCCCCTCAGATACAAACAGCAATGTAATTTTGCTGAGAAGAGAATAATCGTTATTATGTTTGCAGATGTGTCCTAATTCCTAATTTGAAGTATCAGAGTTCAAAATAAAGCAAAGAGAAAATCTTCAAAAAATAGCCATAAGTCCCTACCAGTCCTACTTTGCAAGTGACATCAAACTTGAGGCAGCCTTTTGTGAAAGATGCAGCTTTCTCTTCATAGGTGTTGCTGTTACAAACTTACTTAATCGAATATTTGAGGCTCCTAAAAATCTCTTTTATCTAGCATACTTGCAGGCTGTAATCTGTTAAATTTTTGCTAACTCAAAATAGTACTATAATTAAACTGTACTATAATTAAAATAATAAAAGGCAGTACTACACAAAATCGTAGGAAATAGACTGAAATTAGATGATGAATCTTAAAACTGGAAGCAAACTCATGAGGCTGCAATAGCTCAACAAAATGCAGAGCAAAATGCGCACCTTGGAGAGTTATGAGCTACCTTAATTGTCAAAGTAGAAACAATGTTTTTACCGCTTTATTTTACACCTGAAGCAGTTGTAACAATTGAGCAGCAAAACAATTGACAACCAGGACATTTTACCGAGCTCTATTTTTCTGTTACTTCTCAGGATTCTAATGACATACTAAGCAAAATTAATCCCTTAAACCAAGGAGATAGGCAGGTAAGCAACCATGGCCAAGGATTCTCTCTAGCTAAGGATTCTCCTCCACGTGATGATCTTGCACAGACAGCAAGCTCTTCCTTCTGTTAGAAAGATGTATTTGTCCTAGCAAGTAAGCTCATAAACCCATTAAAGCTCGCCTTTTCCGATAAATATTCCATAGGCAAACCCATGCCCTCGTTTTCAAAACCTCACTATTCAGAGCACAGGGATCTGAGCTCTGTTAACAGCTTTGTACTGATTACAGAAATCGCTGGCTAACTGCAGTAAGCCCCTTGCCTTAAAATGGCGATCGCACCTCTGCACCTTCTGTTAATCTGCCTACAGCTTCTACACACCCTTTCTGCAGCTC